TGGGCTGCTCTCCGCTCCCTGACCCCTCCCTGTCACCAGGGCCCCTCTTTGGAGATGGTTCCCTCCATCCCAGCCCTTCCTGGCCCGCTCCTGGGTAGCTTCTCCTCCAGCTCTTCCTAGGGGGGCCCGCGATCCCTGTCCGTTGTTAAACACCCCTAAGTTCTGGTGCCTTTCCTCCAGAGAGTTCCTCTCACTTCGTGGTTGCACCATCTTTAATATGATTCTTTCCTGGACCCCTGCCTCCCCCTGGACACGCTGGGCCGCTGCCTGGTCTGGCTCTGCTCACCACGGCATCCCTGGTGGCCGGTGTAGCCAGCACAACAAGCACCTGCCCTAAGAAGGGAAGGGAAGGGGAGGGAGGAGAAAGGATGAAAAAGGGGCAGGGGACAGGAGGGTCACCCAGATTCTCACAGGGAGGGTCTGGGCTGACAACCCCGCAGAGCTCCGAATGGAAGCTGAACGCGTATTTGTTTTGCTGGCACTTTTATTATGTCCAAAATGCAAACAGCCAGCCATTGCCAGTCCTGAAGCAAGAATTTCCTCCTTGCTGCTCATTTATCGTTCTTAATGTCACTCTTCAGCAGCGTCTTCCATGGCGCTTAGAGGCGCTTAAAGGAACAAAACTGCCATCATATTTTACAAACCGTTTCACACCCTGAGAGCTGAGAGCTGAATATATGGAAGGTTTCTGAAAACTGCCTGCAGGCGTCGGGTTCTAATATCATTACCTGTGGCTTTATAGCTCAGCTTTGTCAAAGGAGGGCTGCCGCGGGCCCCCGGGAGCTCCTGGGAGCGCCTCTGGTCTTCTGGGCAAACGTAGGGCCTTGAACTGCACTGCCTGCCTCTGGCTCTGCCACAAATGCTTCCTGCTGCCGCCTTTTCCTCCGGAGTTATGCACTCAGATCTAGAGTTCAATGAAGAAGGAGCAACATAAGGTCTAACCTCTGAGGAGTCGGCCTGAACCTCACATAAAGGGAAATAGTGGTGTTTTAGGGCGGCAAGTGGGAGTCACGGGGGAGGCTGCTCAGAAGCCAGGATGCAGCCGCGTCCCTGAATGAGCGTGGCCGAAGCCGGCCAGCCCCTCCCTGCCTGCATCCCAGGACACCCCCTTCCACCCTGCAACGTCCGATGTGATCTCAGCCATGCTCACCGCGCCCCCAGCACATAGGGGAGGAGAGAGAGAGAGAGAGAGAGAGAGAGAGAATAGAGTGGGCAGTTCCTAAAGAGCAGAGGCATGGGTTTCACTGCCCTTCTCTCCAAACCTGTTCACTGCTCTTGAATAGTCCCCTTAGTTTTGAATTCACACCCTCAGTGAAAGTGCTCTTATACCAACTCCATCCACTCAAGTGCATTCACTGGAAGCTCCAAGCCCTCTGTGCGTGTTTATCGTGGGCTGAGCCTCGACGCTGCGCCGTGTGGGGAGCAGACAGGTCCTCTGGACTCACTGGTGGTTGGGGGCTGGGGACGTCTGTTTTCTTACCGGTTAGCTCTTTCGTTCTTCATTCGAAGGATTACATTTCCTTTCAAAGTCTTTCACGCCTATAGGGACTAGTTCCCTCTGCTACTCTGGTTTACTGTTGTTTTGTTTTCCTATTTTTTCCCAACCTTTTCTTCCTGCAAAGACAACACATGAAGAAATAATATAAGGAGTCACTGTCCCGGCTTCCCTAGGTGTCCCTCATACTCACCATAAAACGCTGATCCTATGTGTGTCCAAACTTCACCTCTGCCTTCATTCATTTAGTGAAAGAAGCTTCTAGACTGGGTAAATGATTTTTTTTTTTAATAAATGGGAAAGTTGGACTCTTGCTTCTAGCCATGAGGTGTAGCCAGTACTGAACTTGCCCACCTACCATGAACAACTAGAAAACTGGACAAAGTATAAGAGACAAATGTTTTTAGACATCGGACCAGGGTCATTGCAGGATTCTGAGAGAAGGAAAGCAAATCAGGTTAGCTCCTCTGATGTCACCACATGCCCCGATTCTGGACCACGGCACAGGGAGAGGAATTCCCAGCATTCCTCCTTGAGCCGAGGTCTCCTCGAGCTGAGGAGCAGAGATCGGGGGTCAGGGAGGCCAAGAAGAACTGCTCTTGAATAGTCCCCTTAGTTTTGAATTCACACCCTCAGTGAAAGTGCTCTTATACCAACTCCATCCACTCAAGTGCATTCACTGGAAGCTCCAAGCCCTCTGTGCGTGTTTATCGTGGGCTGAGCCTCGACGCTGCGCCGTGTGGGGAGCAGACAGGTCCTCTGGACTCACTGGTGGTTGGGGGCTGGGGACGTCTGTTTTCTTACCGGTTAGCTCTTTCGTTCTTCATTCGAAGGATTACATTTCCTTTCAAAGTCTTTCACGCCTACAGGGACTAGTTCCCTCTGCTACTCTGGTTTACTGTTGTTTTGTTTTCCTATTTTTTCCCAACCTTTTCTTCCTGCAAAGACAACACATGAAGAAATAATATAAGGAGTCACTGTCCCGGCTTCCCTAGGTGTCCCTCATACTCACCATAAAACGCTGATCCTATGTGTGTCCAAACTTCACCTCTGCCTTCATTCATTTAGTGAAAGAAGCTTCTAGACTGGGTAAATGATTTTTTTTTTTAATAAATGGGAAAGTTGGACTCTTGCTTCTAGCCATGAGGTGTAGCCAGTACTGAACTTGCCCACCTACCATGAACAACTAGAAAACTGGACAAAGTATAAGAGACAAATGTTTTTAGACATCGGACCAGGGTCATTGCAGGATTCTGAGAGAAGGAAAGCAAATCAGGTTAGCTCCTCTGATGTCACCACATGCCCCGATTCTGGACCACGGCACAGGGAGAGGAATCCCCAGCATTCCTCCTTGAGCCGAGGTCTCCTTGAGCTGAGGAGCAGAGATTGGGGGTCAGGGAGGCCAAGGAGAGGGATGGGGTGGAATGAGCCACACAGAAGAACTGCCCTTTGAGAGCTTCCCCTCCCGTCTTGAGTCTTTGGTTGAAAACTGCACTGTGCATGCATAGGATCAACTCTCCAAGGTCAAGGAAAGAACCACTATTGGAATTTGTAAGTTTCACAATTTCCAGAGCTCACACAGTTCCCATCAGTCAAGTGAAGAGACCTTGTTGCATAAACAGAGCACGCAGAAAAGAACTCAAAAAGGTCATGCTTTAGTCATAGACAAAACTAGCCCAACAATAAAAGCTAGTCTAAACCTGTCATTACAAAAAAACGTTAAAAACAAGACTCAAAAAGATCAATCTGATTCAAAATTAATCAAAAAAAAAAAAAAAAAAGAAAGAAAGCCCCCCAAAACCCGCAATAGTATTAAAGGAAGACAAAAAAATCTGGACACTCAAGAATGTAATATTCACAATGTCTAATATGCCATCAAAATTTACTAGACAAGTGAAGATGTGAAAGATGCAACATGGAGCTGGGATAAAAACCAGTCATAGAGGCAGACCCAGGAAAGATATAGATGATGGAGAGATAATGGACTTAGCCAAGAAAGACTTTGTTTTCTAAAACAGTCTCCTACCCTCAAGAATTTTAAAGATAATAAGAACCTAATGAGGAGAGAAATTGAAGGTAGAACCAAAGGAAACGGCTAAACTGAAGACTTTGTTTTCTAAAACAGTCTCCTACCCTCAAGAGTTTTAAAGATAAGAACCTAATGAGGAGAGAAATTGAAGGCAGAACCAAAGGAAACTGCTAAACTAGATAATATAATATCTGAAATAATAAAAATTCTCCATACCTTTGCCAATCCATGGGAACTATCATGATTTTTTAAAAAATATTTTAATATGAAAATAATTCAAACATATGCAAAAATATAGAGAAGAGGATAATGAACTCCCAATATCCATCCCCCGTTTCAACAATCCCCCAATGTTCTTTGAGTTTCATCTGTCCTTCCAAAACTCTTTTTGTTTTGTCTGGGGCAATTAAAACAAATTTCAGATATCATATCATTTCACTCCTAAATACTCCGGTGTTCATCTCTAACAAATAAGTGGCCAAAGCTTAAACGCATACACACAATGCCATTATCACACCCCAAAGATTAGCAATAATTTATTCCTATTGCCTGTTAACCAATCCCTCCTCCGTTTTTCCTGATTGCCTCAGGAAGTTGGGATTGGCCATTTTGGTGCATTTGCTCCTCTCATCGCTTTTAGCTGATACATCTCTTAATTCTCTTGCCTTCTCCTCTGGTTTTTCCAGGGCAGGTATTTGTTGGAAACAATCCAGTGATTTTCCAGGTCATTTTCCCGAGAGAATGTCTCACTTCATTGAGGAGTTCTTTATTTTTTATTTTATTTAAAAATAAAAATATATTTATATGTATATTTTATTGATTTCAGAGAGGAAGGGAAAGGTAGAGAGATAGAAACATAAATGATGAGAGAGAATCATTGATTGCCTGCCTCCTGCACACCCTCTACTGGGGATCAAGCCTGCAACCCATGCATGTGCCCTAACAGGGAATCAAACCGTGACCTCCTGTTTCATAGGTCGATGCTCAACTACTGGGCTACTGAGGAGTTCTCTACATTTCTTCTAAGCCTCCTATTTCCTGTGGGTCGGTAGTTAGATCTAGAGCAAGCATGTCAAACTCACAGCCGGTGGGCCGCATGCCTCGTTTATTTAAACTCGCGGCATGCCGGCTGGGAGTTTGACATGCTTGATAGAGGCTCGATTAGGTTCAGGTTGGAGGTACAGAAATACTGCACAGGCAGTTCTGTGGCTTCCTGTTGTGGAGCTTCGGGAGGCCCACGTCTGGGTGCCCCATCTTCGGTGACATTAAGATGATAGGGATCAGCTGTTGCCAGCCTGATCCACTCATTATAAGGTTCCCCAACAACACTCCACCTAATGGCGTTAGCTCTCCCTTGGAGTTGTAATTTTAAAATGTCTTTGCCAACTCAGTAGCTGATAAATTGGTTAGCTACTGAGTTGACCAATTTATCATATTCTAGTTGGTCAGTGTTAACTTGTTACTTATTTCTCAAGTCACAGGATTCCTCTCCGATTCATCTGCCCACCTCCTTCCTGGCCAGGCCTCCTCACAGGGTCTCGGTCATCTCTGGTGCACCCCTAGTCGTGCCGGTCTCATCCAGCTCTGTGGATGGCTTGATGCAGAAACTACTGCATGCACAGCCCAGGAATTGTCTCCGCATTCCAGGCCACAGTAGGTACCAGGCACCTGGCCCTGACTCCAGCTCCCCACTGGAACGACTGCTTTGCATAGCAAGGTCGGCGATGTTTCTGAAGCCGCCAGCTTTACAAGAAAGCGGCCAGGGTCACCGTGAAACCTCCATGGACAGGCTGCACAGCCCCCAATGGCACATCCTTTCTCTACCGTGGCCGGTGCTGCAGAATGAGAGAAGGTTAGTGCAGCAGTAAGTCTGCTCAATCCTAGTCACTTTTCAATGTCCGGGTCCTCTTCCTAAGACACCCAAGTCCGTGTGGGCTAAGCCATGAGCAGTTTGTGGCACAGACACTGTCCTGAGTCACTGGGGCTTCTCCCCTGCCAAGTGGGGTCATTGGCTTTGGGCCACTCTGTGCTTGTCCACTCTCCCTCCTCTTAGACTGAGTTATTTCCCAGGAAGAGCCAAAGGCTGGAAACAAATACTCCTCAGTGGGGTCAGCCCAGAGGCCACAGAGACACGCCCAGATCTGCCTGAATCCCAGGATGAGCACAGGTCAGCCTGCCCGCGGGAACCTGCCCCCGCCTACCCAGTAACAGAAAGCAAAGAGTCGTACCCTCGGAGAGGGGCAGGGTGCTCCCAAAGAATGTTTTTCCAAAAGATGTTTTTTTGAAGGCAAACAATGTAAGGACTATTTTTGTAATCCAGGTATCTCTGTGAAAATGTTGAAAATCTCCCTAGGAATTCCTCAGGCAAGGCCGACTTGAGAAACGCCGTGGACAGCTGCCCGGCCAGCCCTCCGGGACCACGCAGGACACCCACAAGGCACGCCTTTCCGTCCCCGCCCCCCATGAGACTCCCTGGAGCCACAGGCACTGATCGAGGACATGCTTTGGAGTTCGGTGTATTTTTTTAATAGTTTATTGATTTTTGAGAGAGAGAGAGGAAAGGAGAAGAGAGAAACATCAATCAGCTGCCTCCTGCACTTCCCCCACTTGACGTCCTTCAGGAGGGAGAGGGAATGTGACCCAGGATCAGACGAGTTTCCCTGTTTGGAGCAAACAAGTCCTTCCCCTCCCAGGGCCCCTGTGCAGGAGCTGAGCCACCTGACCAGCGCTGTCTTCAGCAAGAGGAGCGCCAGTGCCAGGAGTTACCACGTCAGCAGTGCACACACGCAGCCCAGCTTACCAGCCACCCACTCCACCCAGGAGGCAGCTTCCCACCCGGAGGGGTTTGAAAAGCCACAGACCCTCCTGTCCCCTCCACCTGCCCCAGACTCCCCAGCATCCTGCCTTTGTCCCATTCTCCTGGGAGAGGAAGGCGCCCTCTTTTCCAAGGGGGCTCAGGTGGCATGAGTTAAGCCACTGCCCATTTGAGGGCGGTGCCACCTGTCTGCCAAGGGCCCCGAGGCTCCCTGGGCCTGCTCAGACGCACCTGCCTCTTCCCCTTCACGAACCCTGAGCTCAGACAGCCGGGCACGCATGCTGCACCTGGAGCTTCCTTCCTGGCCAACTGTGGAAACCACAGGGAGGATTTCCAGCTCAGCTCCAATGCCGCCTCCCCTGCCGCCCCTCCCACCTCTCCCCTGCTGCCCCGTGTCTCCCGAGGACTCAGTCACATCCAGTCACTTCTGTGCCCAAAGCAGCCAGGCTCCCAAAGCCCTCTACCGCCCTCCCGGGCCACAGGGCCCTGACACTCCGGAGCAGTGGTTCTCAACCTTCTGGCCCTTTAAATACAGTTCCTCATGTTGTGACCCAACCGTAAAATTATTTTCGTTGCTACTTCATAACTTTAATGTTGCTACTGTTATGAATTGTAATGTAAATATCTGATATGCAGGATGGTCTTAGGTGACCCCTGTGAAAGGGTCGTTCGACCCCCAAAGGGGTCTCCACCCACAGGTTGAGAACCGCTGCTCCGGAGGGTGAGGGCCAGGAATCACTCCTAATCCCAGTCAAACCCATGCCTCCAAGTTGAGCCCGAGGGACACACCGTTTCACTTTTCTGAAAAACTTCGTGGTTTCTCCAAAAAGTGGACTTCCCCATTGTGGGGAGGCTCCTCACCCTGTGGCTGGACACTGATTCCTCCAACAACTTCTGGAACATTCCTGGGAACGCCCTCCTCAACACCTCCTTCCTCCCTCCTCCGTGGAGCCTCCACAAGTGGGGACTGACCCCTCTCCCTCAGGTCTCACCAGCCATGCCCGTCAGTCCTGATGCTGGCGGCCAGGTAGGCCTCCATCCATTCCCTCCGCTCGCCCCCTCGTCCCAGGCCCAGGCCCCATTCCCATCCCACCCCTCTGGTGCACTTGCCTCACCCCAGCCCCCTGCAGCCTTGCTGCACCGTCTCACAAACGGGAGGAGAGGACACCTCGGGGCTCCCTGGGGAGCTGGGGCAGGAGAGGGAGAGGCTGGTTGAGGTCACTTCCTCCCGGTGGCATTGCCCACTCTCTGCCTCCCACCCCAGAGCCTTTCCCACGGCCAGGGGGGCAGAAAGATGGGGTGGGACCTGGTGTGCTTGGTGTCTACTCATCATCTGGATAGCAGCAAGAAACAGGGGCGAGGGCCACACGACCACACACTGCATTTCCCAGCGTTCACCAGCTGTGCCGGAGGGGGCTGAGGAATGAGGGCCGATCTTGGGAGCCGAGATCTCTCCCCGCCCGATCCTGGGGCATGAGGGCCTCCCACAGGAGGGCGGTGGACAGAGGGGGGAGGGATGGAAACATCTGTGGACCCTCAGACTCAGGGCTGATCCTCCCTTCAAGAATGTTCAGATACCGAGCTGCTCTTGGCATAGGCATACCTCTGCTTTCATGGCCGAGTCAAAATAAAAGATGGGTTTCCTCGGCAACCAAGGAAACATCTCGAGAGAACGGTTATATTGTTTTGAAATGTTTTGAAACCTTATCAATGGTTTCCAGGGAAACCCAGGCTTTCCTAGGTAACTCTAAGAAGAGGCACAGGGGAGCAGGTCTGAATTCACAGTATGCAAGCACGCAGCCATTTGTGAAGGCAGAAGTATCGAGTTCACTCACATCTGACATTTAATGTCCGTGCCTGTTCAGTCTGACATCCAGTGACTCCTTGGGGAGGTCAGCATTACCTGGGTCACAATTTAAGACATCACACAAAGTTTTAAAAATTATGGCACTTGTGAATCCCATGAGAATCGAAAGTTTAATTGATATTATGAAATACACTTTGGGGAAAGCCAGATTTGAAGGACCAACTCAGCAGCCAAATTTCAGTCAGAGCAGCTTGTCAGTCAAATGGCAGCTGTGTCCGCAGAAGCAGCGATGGGACCGCCAATGAATCCGGGAAAGGTGGCCCAAGCCCTCCCCGTGTCCCACCAGGCCGTCCTCACCGTGGCTCCGTCTCACCATCACTGCTCCCCACTTACACTCAGGAAAGCGTCCGGCAAGCCCGCCTTCCCAGTGGATGCTGACTTTTCATTCTCTCTGGCATCCGCTGAGGTCGCCAAGTGCCTCTGCCTCCCTTCAGCAGTGAGTTCCTTTCCGTTCTCAGCTGGTTCGTGATCGCCTCTCAGGCTCAGCTCCTGCCTCTGAAGTTCACCTTCGCCCTTGCTTGCTGTGACCGCACAGGAAGTCCTGGCTCTGAATATTGCTCCAAAGAGCAGCAAGGGAACAGCCGACGGCCACCATCCTCTACGTCCAGTCAGCCCTACATCACCACATCGCTTAGGAACATCTTGTTTAATTAAAACGTGCATTTTAATTTCCTGAGTGATATTTTTCACTGTCACCGTGCTGTGCACATGCTTTATATGGCATCAAACACAGCGGACCGCAGGCAGGAACAGATGGGTCTCACTCTGTGTCAAACTGATATCATAGCACACAGAAAAATAACAGTTAATTTGAGCTTGAAAAGGTTACTCAGACCATACTGCCTCCAGTGGGATATATTTTTAAAGACAAAGAAATGTTGAAATGTACATAATAGGTTTGTTTTCAGTAGTGATATGGGTGCAGTGATAATAAGACTATTTCATGCGTATTCTTTTGCACATGAATCACTATACAAATGTCGGAAGCCCAGATTCTTGCTGTGGGAGGAGGTAGTCCCACAGGAGGCGTGGGGCTGTGAGGACAAGCTCCCTGATGTTGGGCTGGAGGTGAAGGCATCGTCAGTATGAACTCATGATGTTTTAAAAAACATATTTGAATCTCTGTCCATTGAAGAGTTGAAGGAACAATGACATCCGACTGTAATGAGCACACAGAGCACCCAGACCTTGGTTTCTAAATACCTTTCTCCACCAGAGGGAAAGGTGGCTGACCCAGGCCTGGAGCAGGGAGGGTCCAAGGTCAGCCTGGGACACCCAACAGTGCCAGGAAGAAGGATGTGCCCAGAGACTAGCGGGGGCATTAAAGTAGCTGCATCTCACAAGTGACGAAAGCCGAGTCAGGTTGGCATTCGGTTCCCAGGACTGCCGTGACCAATGGCCACAAACCACCCGGCTGAGACAGCAGCCGTTTCTTCCTTCATGCTCCGAAGGGCAAATCTAAATTCCAGCTGTCAATAGGGCCAGGCTCCCCCTGAAAGCTCTAGGGGAGGGTCCTTCCTGCCTCTTCCTGCCTCGGTGGCTCCAGCCTTCCTTGGCTGGTGGCCGCCTCACTCCAGTCTCCCCTGTGTCTGCACTTGGCCATCTTCTCTGTCTCTGTAGGTCTCTGTGCCATTTTCCTGGCTGTGATTTTGAAATATAATTATGCATGATGCTACCTTTGGGGAAATTGTGTGAAAGGTTTATGAGATCTTTCTATTTATTTTCTTTACAACTGCATATGAATATATAATGATCTCAAATGTTTGTTAAACAAAAAGTGTTGTCCGAGGGAGAGACTGAGGGAGGAGGAATCCACAGGTCCTGGCGTCTGATTGGCTGCAAGACAGAGAAGACACTGAAGGAGGCCTGGAAGTTCCAAGCCCGGGTGACGAGGGGAAACCAGGACAGAACAGCAGGGGCAGGAAGGGAGGCGCTAACCCCAGGGCCAGACCAGGGGACTCTGGTCAGCATGAAGGCCTAAGGGACTGGAAGTGTGCTTCTCTTTGGGATGCAAGTAATGCCGGGCAGCTGGAGCCGGCCTACAGGAAACGGGCAATTTCCTAGGAGGCTTCCAGGGAGACCTCGAAGCTCAAGGCAGACATGCAGTTGGGCCTCCGGAAGAGTTAGGCCACCTTTCACCTTTATTTTCCCTTAACATACTGGCTTTCTCTCTCAGTCCAGGGCTGCCCCCAGCGCCCAAGCCCCTGGGAGCAACTGACCCCAAACTCCTAGGGAAAAGTCTCCTAGGCGGGTGCCCTCCCCTCGGGGCCAACAGGGCAGGGCCATTTTACACAAGTGGCCAGAGCTCACCAGAGTGTGAAGTCTCAGGGGTCATCTTGAGCTGGGCAGGCACCCCCAAATGTATCCATCACAAAAGTCCTTAGAGCACCTTGTATTCAGTCCAATATGCTTACTGGGACATTAAAATGAACCCCATTTCCTCTTTCAAGAGTGGATTCTCATGTTCTCTGACTATCACATATTAGGAAGATTTGCAACAAGAGCTGAAGCTAGCATTTAGCCTGGCTTTTAGGAAACCAGAAAATTAAATTAACCGGAACATCAAATCCCCAATCTGAGAATCAGAGTTTTATTTTATTATAAATCCAAATTTATGCAAGTAAAGATCATTCTCGTATGGATATGCAGTAGCTGCTTCCCCCACAATCCCTTAAACTTTCTAAAACTATTCCTTATTATTCGGATAATTTATCTGGAGATAGTTCCTGGTACGATGACCTTTTAGCACAAGGCCGTTTTTCTTTAATGGAGAAACACTGTTTCTTCACACAGATGAGCACACACCCCGGAGTGTCGTCGTCTGTGGCCTGAGTTGCTCTCTGGGAGGTTTGCTGTGACAAATCTCGTCATCAGCTGAAGGTCAGGCGCCAGCGCCCTGCAGGACAGAGAGAACTGTGGGACCTGGAGCCACGGGGAGAGCATCAAAGCAACACCATGAAGGCCCGCACACAGACATTTCTTCCCTTCTCTTGTAGGAAAACCTCTCAGAGGAGGATTTCCCCTCTTGCAAGGGTGTTTATGGGACTGAGTCACAAACAAGCACCACGTGCTGAGTAAATAAATAAATAGGTGGCTCAGGCACCTGCTTCCGAGAGCGAGAAGGGGATTTGTTGACTTAATCCCACCCTTGGCCTCCTGGTGAGTCTTCATTAATTAAGGCTCTGGAAACAAAAGAACTTTGTCTTCTTTAATCATGGAATTTCCAGAACATCAAAGTGGACAAAGAAGTTTTCAGAAGCTCTTTGATTCTAAGCATCTTCCTCCTGCTCAGGGCAGCCGCCAGGGAGGTGGGTGGAGGTCACCTGGGAGGAGGATCCCCCATAAATTTGAAGGGTGGGGGCTCAGGCCAAGGTGGGAGGGGTTGGTTGGAAATAGGAGCTTTGGGCAGCCTGGGGAGATATCCCTGCCGGGCTGGCAGTGGGATGTAGATGATATAAAGCAAAAATCACATTCCAAACATACCATTCCCAGCGGAGAGTAAATATACTCAGCAAAGCCAGGTTCAAAGTGGGCTCTGCAGAATATCTGCATGAAATGCTGTTGAAGAGTGGGAGAACCCAAGGGCTGAGTTGGAGGTCTTGGCAAACGTGGGCGTGCCCGTTTCTCTCGGAAGTCATGGAAGAATCCAAATGAAAGAATCCC